GTTAAAATCATTTATTTATTAAAGTGGCTGTATCTTTTTCTCCATTTTAGTTCTGTCAATCTTTGTTTTCAGAGTAGAATTCTAAAAATTCTCCCACAATGAGATATTATCTCAGTAGCTGATTGGCAAAAAAAGTTTTAAAGTGTTACAAGTGTTGTCAAGGATGTGGAACAACTCTCAACTATGTGGCAGTAAGTGTCAGTTGAAATGATTCTGGAAACTCTTTGACATCACCTAGAGAAGCTGGGAAGCACATGCCCTAGAACAAAGCAAGTCTACCTGTAAGTATTATACTTTAGAGTTAATCTTACACAGACTTTTAAAGGTCTACAGAAATGTTCAAAACAGCACCACTTGAAATAGGAGTGGAAAATCTGGAAACAACTCAAGTATCCATCAAGAGGCTATATAAATAAAATTTGGCAGATGTACACAGTAGAGTGCTGCCCAACATTGAGAAAATGAACAAATTCCCAGAACATAATGTTGAGTTTTTTTTTAAGTGACAATACATAGAATGTCATTTCACTAAATTTCAAAACACATGCAAATCTAAACAATATGTTATTTGGGGATATGTACATATATGGCAAATCTATAAAGAAAACCATGGGAATGACTAAATTCAGGTGATGGTTAACTTTATGGGAGATGGGGGAGGAGCATCTAGGACACTTCAGGAACTTCCCTGGTGCTCCAGTGGGTAAGACTTTGAGTTCCCAATGCAGGGGGCCCAGGTTCGATCAATCGTTGGGGAAATAGATCCTGCATGCATGCCACAACTAAGAGACTGCATGCTGCAACTGAGAGTCTGCATGCCACAACTAAGAAGTCCACATGCCACAACTAAAAGATCCCACATGCCACTACTAAAGATCATGCACGTGGCAACGAAGATCCCACGTGCCGCAACTAAGACCCACAGCAGCCTAAATAATAAATAAATAAATATTTAGGATACTTCAAAGGAATTGATAATAACTTTTTCTTAAGCTGAGTGGTAGGCCCACAGAATTTATTTTCATTCATTCAACTGTACTTATGTTCATATATATATATGCTTGTGTGTGGAATTCTAGGTTAATAAATAGGCTCAAAATGAAACAGGATGAAAATATGAAATAGCTGAACAATTGTATTACTGAATTCAAGCCAAGGAATTCTCTGACACAACCCAAAGAATTAAAGGAATACAAGAAGCAAGAATATAAACCCAGAGAATGTATTCAGGAGAAGTTGATGAAGATAAAACTAGAAAATAATGACATAGAAAATTAAAAAAAAATACAGTTGACCCTTGAACAACACAGATTTGAACTATGCAGGTCCACTTATACATGGATTTTTTTCAATAAATACGTGCTATAGTACTACATTATTTGCAGTTGGTTGAATCCTCAGATATGGGACCTAGGATATGAATATGGAAGACCCACTGTAAAGTTATACACAAATTTTCAATTGCACAGAGGGTCAGGGCCCCAACCCCAGTGTATTTCAAGGGTCAACTGTACAACCAAAACTAGTTTTTTAAAAAATGACCAAAATCTTGTCATTTGAAAAGAGCAAGGGTAGACTTTTGCTTACATACAGTGAGTAGGTCACATGCATTTATTTCCCATCACTATCCAAAAAGAGATGAAAATAACAATGACAACAACAAATGTGAAGACAAAACTACAAAAAATAAGAAAATTCAAGGAACTCTGGTATGAAAGAGCTTATGACCAATTTACAAATTCCCTGAAGGGCCCAGGTTCCACAGAAAAGGACCTTGGTGAGGTATGGATCTGGAAGTAGAGGACTGGTTGAAAATTTATACACAAACTCATTGCCCTGATCTTCCCCCTCTACAGTTAACTTTTCTCCCTTGTCTAAGGTAAAAGTACATTTGATCTCTGGATAAATTGATTTTGAGAAGATGTAGAGGATGCACAAAGAAGGGCAGACAGACACAGTTAGAATGAGTAATAACCACAGTCTGAAATCTTACTTCTTTCCCTATCCTGGTACCAGTCTCCAGCAACTCAACACATAACCTTCACAAGCAGGAAACTGGAGGAGTCCTCTAAGGAGAACTAAAGAGCAAAGAGAATAGAATTCTGGGAGTGTCCCAAAGAAAAGATTGCTTCTGAAATCCATCAGTCGGCAGGCTCTAACTCATGACTCAAAGTAAGGATTACCACGTGGTTGAGAAAAGTACCTAAATGAAAGACAGAGAACAATTCAAACAGGAAAAGGGAATTTGGTCATAACAAAGACGATACATGTAGCTAAGAGAACTTTAAATAAATAATATTTACATAATTGACTATCCTACCTATCACATGCATAATATAATTATATATTATTCATATAATTATGAATCAAATATAATGAATATAATATATATACTATATATAACATTAATATATAATTTCATAAATATCAGAGAAGATATTGCATTCCTAAAGAACAGTATACTATATAGAAAAAAACCATGAGAGAGCTCTAGGAAATTAAAAATATGACTTATTAAAAATTAAATAGAAGTAGAAGATAAAATTCCTAGAGTTGAGTAAAAAGACAGAGAAAATAGGAAGAAAACATTTAGAAGCTTAAGCCATGTAAGTTCCATCAAATAATTCCAGTGAGAGCGAGGAAAGAAGGAAAGAAAGAAAATACAGAAAAATTTTCCAGCCCAGAAGTACATGAGTCTCTAGAATGAAAATATCCACCTGACACCCAGCGTTAAAAAATTTTAAAGAGGGACTTCCCTGGTGGTCCAGTGGTAAAGAATCCACCTTCCAATGCAGCAGGACGCTGGTTCGATCCCTGGTCAGTGAACTAAGATCCCACATGCTGCGGGGCAACTAAGACCGCATGCCACAACTACTGAGCCCATGCGCCGCAGCTAGAGAGCCCGCATGCTCTGGAGCCGACGTGCCACAACTAGAGAGAAGCCCATACGCTGCATGGAAAGATCCTGCATGTTGCAACTAAGACCCGACACAGCCAAAAATAAATTTTAAAATAAATTTAAAGATCCACACCAAGGAACAAAATTACAAAATTTTAGTACACTGTGTGATATATATCACCGTAAACGTTCCAGGAGGGTTGGGAACACAGATTACGCACAAAGAAATAGAAAACAGATGACAAGCCTTTACAAAAGCAACATTAGCTACTGTAAGATTTTATCTGATGTTATGCCTTCAAATTCTAATTTATAGTAGAATTCTCACCACAGGGAATAAGTGAGATTGCAATAAAGGTATTTTCAGACAGTAAGAACTTAAACATTTACCTCAAAGGCATGCATTTGAACGAAGTTGTTGGAGAGAGGCAATCAGCAAAAATGAGAAACATACAAAATTAACAAGACTTGGAACATAGGAATTCAATTCCGGAAAGGGGAGAAGGGAAGTCTTACAGAAACCCTGCAGTCCAGGCTGGAGCTACAAGATGATGGCTGTGAAAGAGATTCGGCAAGGGGGAGAAGAAGTATCAGATAAGTTTGAACATTTGGAAAAATCATTGCTTAGAGTTTGACACTTTGGAGGGGTGGGGGGAACATTTAGAAAAGTGTAGCAATAGGAGCAAGTACATATACATATAAACCAAGTCAGCTAAATCCACAATAAAAAAAATTGTGTAAAAAATATACTTGGCTCTGAAGCACAAAAATATATAATCAGTATATAAATACCAAATACTGCTTTAACCAATAACTGTGATATAGTCATATTTGGAAGTAGTAAAGGGAGAGGACAAGGTGGGAGGGTCTTGTTTTAAATGAGGTTTGAAGTTTTGATCATTAAACAGGACATTTTAATTATTTTAACCACTAAAATGAGACTTTTTTAAAAATAAATTTATTTACTTATTTTTGGCTGCATTGGGTCTTCGTTGCTGTGCGCGTCTTTCTCTAGTTGCAGCGAGTGGAGGCTACTGTTCGTTGCAGTACATGGGCTTCTCATTGCAGTAGATCTCTTGTTGCGGAACTCAGGCTCTAGCCTCGTGAGCTTCAGTAGTTGTGGCATGTGGGCTCAGTAGTTATGGCACACAGGCTTAGTTGCTACGCAGCATGTGGGATCTTCCTGGACCAGGGCTCAAACCCAGGTCGCCTGCATTGACAGGTGGATTCTTAACCACTGCGCCACCAGGGAAGCCCAAGACTGATCTTTTAACGAACAGTGGTAAAAGGAATTTTTTATTACCTAAGAGTGACTAAGGACGTTATTGGGCTCCTATACAAATATATAATTTTTACTCCCCTTCATGTTACTATGTAGTCCTCATTTCTACATTTTGGTATGGGTCCAGGAATACATTATTATGATCCTATCATAATAAAGGAGATAATTTTGTCTCCTTTTCCCCCCAGTATTTATGCCTGAAATTATTTTACTTAAGTGCCAGTCATAATTCTGAAGGCACACCTAACCACCATGTAATTAATCAAAATGCCACACATCCAGCCTCATACACAGAAACAGCGATGCACAAGCGCAGACCCCGTGGAAAACCATAACCAGAGGCGTTGGCCTATCAAAACCATTCCAGAAATGATACACTGTGGAGCACGGCCACATTCACGGATACACACAATCTCACGCACTTCACTAACCAACCGCGCAGACTTCCGGCTTCAGAGCTGGGCATAATCGTCCATTCTCTGCGGAGTCATCGCAGTACCCCATCCAAATAATTACACGCAAGAACAGCCCCACGCACAGAAACAACGCTGTCCAGATTACACACTCAGGCACACAGGCATCCAGCCGGCTCCGGAATCCTGGCCCCTAGCAGGTTTTACCGCCGCGTTCCAAACCCAACAGCTCCCTCTAGAAGAAGCGAAGGAGCACAAGCTCTCCTTTTTGCGCCTGCGCACTAGTGACTGTGCGGAGAATTCCCGGCAATCTCCGGGAGGGGCGGGTCGCGGAGACGATAGCCAATGAAAAAAAAGCCAGAGACCAAGACACTTCCCGCAGGGTAGCAGGCCGGAGTCGGTCTCAGCCCGTAATTCGAGGGTTAGTGTTCAGGATTCTGAGGTTTCCTGGAGCCTCCTCGGCCTTTCACCGCCTCCTACACGCTTGGAGGAGGCGTGGGACTTGCGTCTGACAGAGACAGGCACTTCCCAGAGCCCCAGCGTCACAGCCTTGGGAAAGAGCTGTTCTCCTATGCCTATTCCATTGGAGTGTGGTGAGATGGGAACCCGTGCAGCCGCAGCTTTTCTCGGACACCTGTGTTTGGGAGGGGACAGGCGGCACTCTGGAGACCCGACTGCGCATGGGAAGCAGAGGGTTGAGGGCATTTGGGGTCTAGAGTCTTCTGCCGCTCTATGTTTCCTCCCAGGGTTCCACCAGGTTGGTGCAGGTTGACCTCGTGTTAGGCTGCACCCTGCAGGTCTGCAAGCCTTGTAGTTGCCCAGCAGCGGGTTGCAAGAAAGAGCATGGAGACAGCGGTAGAGACATCAAGGGTTTATTGGACAGGAAATCTTTCAGCTCTGAAGCAAAGGCCCTGGGGTGATACCCCACTGTGTATGGCAGACATCAGGCAGGACACAGGCAGTAGTCTTCCTCTGGGAGAGGAGAAGGAGGAGGAGGTTACCAATTATTGGGGAATTGATGTCAGGTGGGCTCATTAGTTTCCAGGGAAACCAGTAGAAGAGTGTGTCCCTCATTGCCCCTTTGGTTAACAACCATCACTGGGGCAGGTGTTCCCCCTTGATAAACTAGCATGGTGTAGCCATTCTGGTCTTGATCTCAGACAGCAGTGAGCAGTGGCTTGAAGTGAGATTTTAATTCCCTGCCCAGGATTTGGACCTGGGTAGCCCAAAAGAAAACCAGGAATCCTAGCTGCTAGACCACCAAAGGCTAGGGGCTAGAAGCAAAGTTCCCCTGGCTCTTGCCTCATTTGAAAAATGAATTTCTCAAGGAGGCAGAAGCTGCAAAAACAGGTACAAAGTTTATTGTTAGAGACACAACACAACAAGTGGGAGAGCACACGGAGAAACTGTTTATTTAAGACAGAAGCAAGATAGAGATACGCACCCGGAGAGAAAGGGTGTGGGTGTCCTCCCTAATGAGGAAAAGCGCAGTAGAGAGGAGGTCAAATCTTTGGGGCTCGTGCTGTAGCACAAGGGAGCAAAGACGAGGAACAGGCACCCTTGCTCACTCCCTGAGAGGAGCTGCTTTGGTCCTTAAATGGGGTAACAATGGGAGCAGATCCATGGGTTGGGTAGGAGGCGTAGCCTAGGTGGTCAGCCCACCCCCTTGGTGGCGCTGTGTATCACGCTTTTGCTCCCAGCCCCTCAGAAACGGCAGTTGGTTTGTGGCTTTTTGTATTTTTGTTCATAATTGCCCCAACTGCGTGTGTGTGCAGTTATTTTTAGTCCCTTATAGTTTCATTGTATTCCGTTGCTCAAGGAGATGTCTGTCCAGGTGCACGCACTCTGGTAGAGGGTCCCAGGTCCCAGCCTATCTCAGAAGGACCCATAGGACATTTCTGGAGAAACGAAGGCAGTGAACAGCCTCAGGGGTGACCAGCTGCAGTGTCAGAACTGCAGCGTATCCAGAGCTGTGAACCCAGACATTCTAGTCTTCTACTTTCTTTGCGTGCATGTAAAGTGAGGGGCAGAGATGGTAGTGGAGACTGGGTTTTGCCCAATCTTCAAAAAGACCAGATACCGGGCTTCCCTGGTGGCGCAGTGGTTGAGAGTCCGCCTGCCGATGCAGGGGACACGGGTTCGTGCCCCGGTCCGGGAAGATCCCACATGCCGCGGGGCGGCTGGGCCCGTGAGCCATGGCCGCTGAGTTTGCATGTCCGGAGCCTCTGCTCCACAACGGGAGAGGCCACAACAGTGAGAGGCCCGCGTACCACAAAAAAAAAAAAAAAAAAGACCAGGTATCTCAGGCAACCCTTTCCCTGGCTACTGCCATTCTCCACAGAAGTCATGTGAGAAGGAGAGAATTGCTGCTGTACATCAAAAAATCAAATTCAAGGTGAGTTTGTGCTTCCTCTTTGTTCCATGAAACGCATTTCGTTTTTCAGTATGTGGAAACATCTGGTGTCCTCCTGAAACATTTTCATTGATTTACCCTTAAGTCTTCCTTCCACAGGGAAAGTCACAGGTCCTGGGGATAGATTCCATTCCCCAGTGCACCCAGATGTCCTTCTGGTTAATTATTTGCATTTTGCAAATAATTTAATTCTTCCTGTTGACTCTCTTTTATTAAACATTTCTTAGGCTGTAGAAATGCAACTCTGGAGGATAATAGACTATTATTTTAGACAGTGATTTATTAATGAAGAGAATATACCTGCTTGGAATCACACACTGGATATTCTTAATCTTCTACAAAGGCTTGAGATCAAAAGCAAATAGGGTAGGAGATGGTTTGACTCATTTCAATCAGTGACAAGGACCTTGCTTTGTGAAACTTTTAAGAGTACAAATGTAATTGGTGGTTTGAGAGGTCTGTTTCAACTAGGGTGTAGATCCCACCACCACTCTACTCCAGAATACCTAATGGTATTTTTTGTAGTACTGGCCAGGTCTGCTTCCTGGTTTGTCAGCGTAACTTTGTTTCAGGTCACATTTTTGTGTGATGTGTGAGCAGTATGGTATAATGGCTAAGAGTGTGGGTCTAATACCTGGGTTAAAATCCTAGCTCTAACGCTTGCTAGGTGTGTGAGCTGCTTGGGTAGTTTATTCAACCTCTCCTTGCCATAGTTTCTTTTTTTTCTCCAAAATATTTTGTAAAGACTGTTTTTTTTTAAGAGCAGTTTTAGGTTTACAACAAAATTGAGAGGAAAGTACCGACATTTCCTATATATCCCCCGTCCCAATACATACATAGCTTACCCCATTATTAATAACCCCCACCAGAGTGGTACCTTTTTTTTTTTTTTAAACCAAGGATGAACGTACATCAACGCATAAGTCACCCAAAGTCCATAATTTACCTTACTGTTGTACCTTCGTGTTGTACATTCTGTGGTTTGGGACAAATGTATAATGACATATATCCATCATTCCAACGTCATAGAGTGTTTTCATTACCTGAAAAGTCCTCTGTGCTCTGCTGATTCATCTCCACCCACCCCCCACAAACACTGATCTTTTTATTGTCTCCATGGATTTCCTTTTTCCAGAATGTCATATAGTTGGAAGCAGACAGTATGTAACCTCTTCAGATCAGCTTCTTTCACTTAGTACTGTGCATTTAAGTCTCCTTCCTGTGTTTTCATGGCTTGATGGCTTATTTCTTTTTTAGCACTGAATAATAGTCCATTGTCTGGAGGGACCACAGTTTATCCATTCACCTACTGAAAGTCATCTTGGTTGTTTCTGAGTTTTGGCAATTATAAGAAAGCTGCTGTAAACACCTGTGTGCAGGTTTTTGTGTGAATATGTTTTCATCTACTTAGGGTAAATACCAAAGATCTTTATTACTGGGTTGTATGGTAAGAAAGAGTATGTTTAGTTTTGTAAAAAACCACCAAACTTTCTTCCAAGGTGGCTATGCCATTGTTTCTTAACTGGAAAATACCTACCGTGTAGCATTATTATGAGGGTTAGATGAGTTACTAGTGTAAAGTCCTTAGAATAGCCCCTGGCACATACTAAAAGCTCAGAAAACATTGCCTGTTATGATGTGGTAATTCTGGGTCATTCCCCTTCAGCTTTCTGCAGATCAGGAACAATGACAGTGTAAACTTAAATTTCTTGGCACTTGTAGGTAAGAAAATGAAGCAAATGCCAAAGTCCTGTAGAGTGGCATTTAACTCTATGCCATTTACCTTCCTTTATGGGATTCCAGGCAAAAACTGAATCCTTCATTTCCCCCCACACACATTTATTGAGATATACTTGGCATATAACATTGTGTAAGTTTATGGTGTACAGTGTGAAGATTTGGTAAATGTATACATGGTGAAATGATTACTACATAGTTAGCTCTGTGCGTGTGTGTGTGGTGAGAACGTTTAAAATCTACTCTTTTAGCAACTTTCAAGTGTACAATACAGAATTGTTAACTATAGTCACCAAGCTGGACATTAGATCCCCAGTTAGATCTTCTAACTGGAAGTCTGTACCCTTTAACCAACATCTTCCCATTTCCCCAGTGCCCTAGCACCTGGCAGACTCCATCCACTTTTTGTTTCAACGAGTTTGGTTTTCTTAGACTCCATATATATGTGAGGTCATACAGTATTTGTCTTTTTCTGACTTATTTCACTTACTGTAATGCTTTCAAGGTTCATTCATGTTGTCCCAAATGACAGGATTTCCTTCTTTTTTCGGGCTAATATTCCATTGTGTGTGTTTATATCTATATATAAAGAATATGTGTTGTATGCACATATCACATGTACATTTAACCCATTTTCTTTATCCATTTATTGGTGGACAGACAAGCTGGTTGCATGTTTTGGCTATTGTAAATGATGCTACAGTGAGCACCCCTGCGAACATGGCATTGCGAGCGGTGCGGAGCGTGTGGCCCGTGGTCTACAGCCTGTGCGCCGTCTCTGCGCCCAACGCGCCCTGCCCGCCGCGGCCCTGGGGACTGCGGGGCGGGCGCCATCAGGGCGCTGCGCACCGGACCCGCTCTGCTGTCGGGTCGTAAATTCACAGACAAACATGAATGGGTAATAATAGAAAAAGGTGTTGGAATAGTGGGAATCAGCAATTTTGCACAGGAAGCTTTGGGAGATGTTGTTTACTGTAGTCTGCCTGAAGTTGGGACAAAATTGAACAAACGAGGAATTCGGTGCTTTGGAAAGTGTGAAAGCTGCTAGCGAACTATTCTCCTCTATCAGGAGAAGTAACTGAAATTAATGAAGCTCTAGCAGAAAATCCAGGACTTGTCAACAAATCTTGTTATGAAGGTGGTTGGCAGATCAAGAATACACTCAGTAACTCTTCAGAACTAGATGAACTAATGAGTGAAGAAGCATATGAGCAATACATAAAATCTATTGAGGAGTGAAAATGGAACCCCTAAATAAACTAGTTTGAAACAACTTAATCTAGCATAGTTGTCTTAAATTAATGGTGGGTAGATTTTTAAAAAGAACCTTTTAGCAAAAGAAACTACTTGCAACAATGTTGCCTGAAGAAAATACCCCTTAACTGCCTAATGACTTCAGATAAACACCACATCTTTTTCACAACACCCTATAATTTTTTTTTATTTTTATTTTTTGCGGTACGCGGGCCTCTCACTGCTGTGGCCTCTCCCGTTGCGGAGCACAGGCTGCGGACGCGCAGGCTCAGCGGCCATGGCTCACGGGCCCAGCCGCTCCGCAGCACGTGGAATCCTCCCAGACCGGGGCACGAACCGGTGCCCCCTGCATCGGCAGACGGACTCGCAACCACTGCGCCACCAGGGAAGCCCCTCAACACCCTATAATTTTTAGGCTAATCTCCAGTTATAATATTTAGAATTCCTGAAATTATCTGTGGTAAAACTAGTTATAAAAATTATGTAATTCAAGGATAACATTGTTATCTTAACCTTGTATAATATTGTAACTTGCTTACAGCCATCCCTGGATTTGGGTCAAAATACTCAATGATCTTCCCACTGGAAATAAATGGCAGTGGAAAAAAGTTTGTTAGTTGTATAGTGTCCAGTGAAGAACATTACTATCTTAATTTTGCAGTATACTGTGTTTGCTTGTGCTACTTCTATACAGTGAAGCAACAGCCTTGCAGGAAAATAAGAAACAGTTTAATAATAAAATATTCAACTTCTTAATAAAAAAAATAATGCTGCAGTGAACGTGGGGGTACAAATAAATCTCTTTGAGATAGTGATTTCATTTCCTTTGTGTATATACCCAGAAGTGGGATTGCTGGATCATTTGATTGTTCTATTTTTAAGTTTTTGAGGAACTGCCATACAGTTTTCTATAATGGCTGCACAAATTTACATTTCTGCCACCAGTGTACAAGGGCATCCTTTTCTCCACATCCTTGACAACACTTGTTATCTTGTCTTCCTAGGGATAGACATTTCTAACGGGTGTGAGGTGATATCTCATTGTGGTTTTGATTTGCATTTCCCTGATTAGTGATGTCAAGCATCTTTTCACATACCTGTTGACCATTTGTATGTCTTTGGGAAAATGTCTATTTAGGTCTTCTGCCTTTTATTTATTTATGTTTTGGCTGTGCTGTGCAGCATGTGGGAATCTTAGTTCCCCAGCCAGGGATTGAACCCATGTCCCCTGCAGTGGAAGCACAGAGTCTTAACCATTGGAAGGGAAGTCCCTTCTGCCCATTTTTTAATCAGATTTTTTTCTCTTGAGTTGTATGTGCTTCTTATATGTTTGAGTTATTAATCCCTTATCACATGTATGGTTTGCAAATATTTTCTTCCATTCTGAAGCCTACCTTTTTATTTTGTTAATGGTTTCTTTTGCTGTGCAGAAGTTTTTTAGTCTGATGGAGTCCTACTTGTTTATTTTTTCTGCTGTGGCCTGTGCTTTTGGTGTCATGTCCAAAATATCATTGCCAAGGGAATTCCCTGGCAGTCCAGTGGTTAGGACTCCCCACTTCCACTCCTGGGGGCCTGGGTTCGATTCCTGGTTGGGGAACTAAGATCCTGCAAGCTGTGCAGTGCAGCCTATATGTATGTGTGCATGTGTGTGTATATGTGTGTGTGTGTGTGTGTATCATTGCCAACACCAGTTTTCCCAGCGTTTTCTCCTAGTAGTTTTATGTTTTCAGGTCTTACATTTAAGTCTCTAATTCAATGAATTAGAGACTTAATTTTTGTTAGTGGTGTAAGATACGGGTCCAGTTTCATCCTCTTGCATGTGAATATATCCAGTTTTCCCAGCATCATTTATTGAGGAGGCTTCCTTTCCCTATTGTGTATTTTTGGCTCCTTTGTCAACTCTCAGTTGACTGAATATTTGTGAGTTTATTTCAGAGCTCTTAATTCTATTCTGTTGGTCTATGTGTCTGTTGTTATGTCAGTATTAAACT